TTTTCCGTACATTTTGATCCAATTCAAGCATTTTTCTAGGCTAGTTTTTGTCTTGGGAATCAAAATAAATCGTCCTCCATTTCATCTGGCTGGCTAGCGCTCATCTGCTTTACAAGTGCCCCAGCAACATCTCAAAACCATCTCAACTTCGCCCTCCGAACCGACTTGTTTACATTTTTTGTGGGACAACATGGCTGCCATTACGTGTCCTCTATTTTGATTGGCCAATCCAGCGCGCCCGGATAACGAGTTTGATTTATCGGAACTATGAATAACACGACTATGACATCAATAACACGACTATGACATCAATAACACGACTATGACATCAACAAACGACCATGACATCAATAACATGACCATGACATCAATAACACGACCATGACATCAACAAACGACCATGACATCAATAACATGACCATGAGATCAATAACATGACCATGACATCAATTTGGAAAACGTCGATCATTGATTTTTGAAGGAGGTTGCATGACCGAAATGGATTATGGTTGATATAAAAGAATTCACATTGAGTTCACCTTCCGTCAATGGAGAGCAAATGAAGCCAATGTTTGTCATAGAATATCTCACATTATTTTTTTTCGGTCCGGTATCCTAGTCATTCGCGCGCTGTGATTGGCTAGCGCGCGGTCCGGTTTTTCACGATCTGCCTGGTCCGACGGTATCCTGCAGCTAGGCTGCGAGCAAAGTTGCATAAAATACAAATAAAAAAAAATAAAAATGTTCTTTTCCGGCTATAGGTCGGTCCGTATAGGAAAACACTGCCCTCGGTTTTTTATGTACGGACCTCGCTGTGCTCGTTCAGTACTGTCAAGACATTTTGTAAGTTTTGTTCCTAAAAAGACTTGTAATTCTTACTTCAGCAGAGGATTTTGCCACCTTGGCTTGGAATGTTTGACAAGTGAAAATTAATTTACTGCTCGCTGGTGAAAGCTGGTTTGAGTGAACAAACTTAAAATGGCCCTTGACACATTGTTTTGATCCGCAATATTTCTAAAAAAAAACAAAGCTGGCGCTTTTCACTAGTCGAGGACTATTGAAAATAGACCCCGAGTAGCGTAGCCAATCAAAACGAAGGATTTGTAATAGTCCACTAGTAAAAAATACTCAAAGCTAACTGACTCTGCGATCGATGAAAACAGAAAAATATCAATAATAAAAAAACACCATACTAGTATACTTTGATCCCATAAAAAATTATCGGTTAGACTGTGAACAATATAACCGTGAAACACTATGTACTGAATGGCGAGAGTCCTTTTCATTTGACCGTGAAAACAGAACCTATCAAGACAGTATTTGTTGAATAAGAACTTACAAACTTTTCACAATCAAGACATTGCCAGAAATGGTACTAAAGGGTATTTCTCATTATGTGTCTCGTATTGTTTGTTCTCTATTAGAAACTATCAAACACATAATATTAGTGATTGTTTCGGTCACAGTTCGATGACAGCTACTCTAAAAGTAATAGTGACAACGTTAAAAACAATTTTACCATCGGTCGGTAAAAAAAGGAAAATAATATCTATAATATTTAGAAATGGAATAGTAATTAAGATCAGTGTATTTCCTAATTTTTTGTAATACTAATGATATTGAAACTAACTGACTGCACTTACTATTAAAATCAGTCTCATAGTAATAGCAAAAATATAACAAGAMGTCGTTGATAGTGATAGTGATAATCGAAAGGTAATATAAAAGGAAAAGTGTGTCAAATAGTAACGAATAAATATATTTGAAAATCATTGACTACCGCGAATAATGGAGATATAGTGAAATGAACTGGCCGAATGAGACATAACAATTTCATCGATTTATTCCCATGAAGGAAATACTCGATAACAAGAACATTATGTTGTTAACGAACCATTATTAGGCGTGCTTCAGTTGAAATCTTAGGTTTTCTGATTAATGCTAAGCAGAGCAATGACGCTCCAATTAAATGTTTTGCGTCTTTKAAGGCTTACATGTCGGAAGTTTCACAGAACCTTCAATATACCCTGTCAGCCTTAATAAAAGGTGCCTGTCTTGATGATGTACGTAGTGGTTGCTATAGAACCGCTGTAAAGCTGCTTAAATTGACACCATTGGAGTTTGGAGTTCCATCAGACAAGGGAGAGAAGTATATGCCAATACAAGTGTGGTGCCTAGTCTAACAATTTCAAAATTGACCAGTTGTAGTAAGGAAAATTCATGGTTTGCAAACGTTTAACAAAGAAGGGACAATTTAACAAATATAATCAAGATAGTTTTCAGTGTCAAAGGTAGGCACATCATCCTGTCTGACTTCCTCGCTGCTTGGTATGACCTATCATTGTGTTTAGCACTGTCAAAACTTTCGATTCATAATTTTCTATGTCGAACATTTGACAAAGCATAACTTAAAGTTTTAATGGATTTCTATGATTTATATAACCACTATATGTTATGAATTTTTTCGCTAAAAGTAATATGTCCACAATGGAACTAAAAAACAAAAACCTAAGAAAAACAAAACCAACTAACAAATATGAACGAATTTCACTTTTTGCTAGAGATTGAAGTATTTAGATTGTATAGATTTGTCTCAGTGTTGGTTGGTACAATAGATTCATAAGGGTATTGTGAACAACTATTGTTTTAATCATTAAAATCGCCATCAAATAATTTCTTTACTCAGTGTCCGAATTTATCAYATCATTTTTTGAGCACAGATCTATTCATTAACTAGATATTTTGTTGATATTTATGAAACCCAACAAACTACGTTGGTAAGTCAATGCGGAAAACGTGATTGTGGACGCCACTAATGAGCGAATTCCGTGCCATTTCACAAGTCGATGAGACGCTCTAGAGGGAATTGTGAAGATTTACGAATTCATATTGCATGATTCCCACTTTCAACACAACTTGAAAGTCTGCAAATGGACTTTTTTCTTATCAGCCTCCAAGATTGTCAGATAAATGCCTTAGTGAGATGGAATTATGGTTGAGTTTTCGTACTCAATATCAATTCAATATATTCACCTTAAAAAGCCGATTATTCGACGAGATATGGCGTTATAGTAAGCTAATGAATAGTTTTGCCGTGTTACTACTTGTATTTTTGGGGATTCACGTCTTTGAGAAACTGAGCAATGATACGGACGACTCACGGCAGTTTAACATGTTTGATTGTGAAATGAAGAATCTCTTACTTGTGTTTTTTTATATTGTGCTTCAGTTAGTGAAAGTATATTGTCAATATTGCGTATCTTTACATATTTATCTTTGTAGACGAACAACTCATCGTAATGAATAACACTTCAATGGTTAACAACCCGAAAGCTTCACGTGGATCTGACGTCTTGCCGTATACAGAGGCTTGGCTTTTTGGATTTGGACTTGAATCATTAACAATAATTACCCTTAACGTTTTAACCCTTATTGTTTTAACACAAACATATGGGTTGAGAAAGCGAACTACGTACTTCCTCATCAATTTAGCAGTGACTGACTTATTTGTCGGTTTGCTTCCTTTACCAATGTACATGATCAACATCGCTAATCCAGTCTTAATGAAGAGCAACGCTGTCCTCTACGAAGCATTCCAGTTCCTTGATATGATGTTCGGCGCATGCTCAGTTTGGACTTTGGCGCTGATATCATTGGAAAGGCTATGTATTGTTCTAATGCCATACGCTCATCGATCAGCCAAATTACGTAGCTACTTTTGCGCCATTGGATTCTGTTGGCTTCTTCCTGCAATCGTAGGGGTAATAGGCTTCCTACCTAAACATGGCCTGTTGAATAGGACAGTGTATCTGTACATTATATTTCTTTCACTTCTTTTCATTCCTACGGCCACTTTAGTCATATCCCACATTGCTCTTGGCGTGAAGTTCAACCAGCGAAGTAACAAGATTCGTCGCGCAAGACAGGAGAATGATCTCAGTAAGACATTGCTCATCGTAACTGGGACTTTCCTTGTATCTTGTCTTCCATTTCAGACTTTGGTATTTTTTATAGCATTAGATCCTAAATACCCTATTCAGTTAACGATCATTGTAGCATTGAAACTTCTTCAATATGCCAATTCCTTTATGAATCCTATCATCTATTGGCCAAGGCTACCAGGCTTCAAGGAGGCTGCACGTAAACTACTCCCCTCGAAATCAAAGCGATCAGCGAGGCAATATTTACCACCTACCTCATCATCTCCCGTCTAACAATAAAATTAAAAAAATATTAAATAAAATAAACTCTTATTAGCACAAAATAAATCGAACTCGATCATTAGATAGATCACTAAAACGTTAAATTAGTACTATTGAGCAACTACTTAATTAGCGTAATCCCTTTATATATTATATTCCTTTCCTCAATTATAACTTAGCCAGTATCATWGTGAAAAAGAACATCAAGGAAGTATCCAACAATTCACAATGAAAGTCATGATGAAAGCTTTTCACCGAGACTCAATGATAGGACAGATAACAGAAGCGATATGTGTCAGAAAGACCCCAGACTCCCACGGGAGATCATATACACCTTTTATGCAAATAYAAKTCCGAAAACAACATTAAGAACTGAAGAGGCCGGGAAGGCGAAACGTTTTCTTCATACTACACTCAACTCGATACGTAGCAAAGGTTTTATAATACTTATAATTACCTAAGGCTCGTAATGGTCTCTCTCCTACCTACACTCTCCTACCTACATCACTTCTCTTCTTACAGACTATAGCACCTCTCGACGCCTCAGATCTTCAAACATACAAAGGTCTTATTATTATTATTATTATTATTATTATTATTATTATTATTATAACAGAAAAAAGCGACATAAGCAGAAAGTTGTAAATAATAAGATAGAGTGGACGCACTTAATCCGTGCAACTGTACAAACTAAATAGTTCTATTTAGTTGTTATTTAGTAAATCGTGCATGCGGTACGCAAATTAAATTGAATTGATACGAATGAAGCATTC